AAAAAAAAAAAAAAAAAAAAAAAAAAAAAAAAAAAAAAAGGAAAGAAAGAAATACAGCCCTTAAAGAGGAAACACAAAAATCTCTTAAAGAATTACAAGAAAACACAACAAAACCATCCAGGATCTAAAAATGGAAGTAGAAACAATAAAGAAATCACAAAGGGAGACTACCCTAGGGATAGAAAGCCTAGGAAAGAGATCAGGAGGCATAGATGCAAACATCACCAACAGAATACAAGAGATAGAAGAGAGAATCTCAGGGGCAGAAGATACCATGGAAAACATTGATGGAACTGTCAAAGAAAATGCAAAATGCAAAAAGCTCCTATCCCGAAACATCCAGGAAATCCAGGACACAATGAGGCTACCAAACCTAAGGATAATAGGTATAGATGAGAGTGAAGATTCCCAACTTAAAGGACTAGTAAATATTTTCAACAAAATTATAGAAGAAAACTTCCCTAACCTAAAGAAAGAGATGCCCATGAACATACAAGAAGCCTACCGAACTCCAAATAGACTAGACCAGAAAAGAAATTCCTCCTGTCACATAATCAAAACATCAAATGCACAAAACAAAGAAAAAATATTAAAAGTAGTAAGAGAAAAAGGTGAAGTAACATGTTAAGGCAGACCTATAAGAATTATACCAGACTTTTCACCAGAGACAAGATTCTGGACTGATATCATACCCTAAGAGAACACAAATGCCAACCCAGACTACTATACACAGCAAAACTCTCAATCACTATAGATGGAGAAACCAAGATATTCCATGACAAAATCAAATTTACACAATATTTTTCCACAAATCCAGCCCTAAAAAGGATATTAGATGGAAAATTCCAACACAAGGAGGGAAACTACAACCTAGAAAAAGCAAAAAAGTAATGTTCCCATAAACCCAAAAGAAGATAGCTACACACACACAATTCCACCTCTAATAACAAAAATAACAGGAAGCAATAATCATTTTTTCTTAATATCTCTTAACATCAATGGACTCAATTCCCTAATAAAAATACGTAGACTAACAGACTGGATACATAAATAGGACCCAGAATTTTGCTGCATATAGGAAACATACCTCAGTGACAAAGACAGACACTACTTCAGAGTAAAAGGCTGGAAAACAATTTTCCAAGCAAATGGTTCCAAGAAACAACCTGGAGTAGCCATTCTAATATCAAATAAAATCGACTTTCAACCAAAAGTTATCAAAAAAGATAAGGAAGGACACTTCATACTTGTCAAAGGAAAAATCTACCAAGATGAACTCTCAATTCTGAATATGCTCAAAATGTAAGGGCACCCACATTCATAAAAGAAACCTTACTAAAGCTCAAAGCACACATCACACCTCACACAGTAATAGTGGGAGACTTCAACACCCCACTCTCAGAAATGGACAGATCATGGAAACAGAAACTAAACAGACACAGTGAAAATAACAGAAATTATGAACCAAATGAATTTTACAGATATATAGAGCATTTCATCCTAAAACAAAAGGATATACCTTTTTTTCACCACCCCATGGTACCTTCTCTAAAATAGACTATATAATTGGTCACAAAACAGGCCTCAACAGATACCAAAAGATTGAAATAAACCCTTGCATCCTATCAGATCACCATGGACTAAGGCTGGTCTTCAATAATAACAAAAATGATGGAAAGCCCACATACACATGGAAACTGAACAGCGCTCTACTCAATGATAACTTGGTCAAGGAAGAAATAAAGAAATTAAAGAATTTAATGAAAATGAAGGCTCGTCATACCAAAACTTATGGGACACAATGAAAGCAGTGCTAAGAAGAAAACTCCTAGATCTGAGTGCCTCCAAAAAGAAACTTGAGAGAACATACATTACAACTTGATAGCACACCTGAAAGCTCTAGAACAAAAAGAAACAAATTCACCCAAGAGGAGTAGACTGCAGGAAATAAACTCAGGGCTGAAATCAACCAAGTAGAAATAAAAACAACTATACAAACCAGGAGCTGGTACTTTGAGAAAATCAACAAGATAGATAAACCCTTAGCCAGACTAACCAGAGGGCACAGAGACAGTATCCAAATTAATAAAATTAGAACTGAAAAGGGAGGCATAACAACAGAAACTGAGAGAAATCAAAACTCATCAGATCCTACTTCAAAAGCCTATCTATACTCAACAAAACTGGAAAATCTGGATGAAATGGACAATTTTCTAGACAGATACCAGGCATCAAAGTTAAATCAGATTAAACCATCTAAACAGTCCCATAACCCCTAAAGAAATAGCAGTAGTCATTAAGTCTCCCTACCAAAAAAAGCCCAGGACCAGATGGTTTTAGTGCAGCATTCTATCAGACATTCAAGGAAGACCTAATACCAATTCTCTTCAAACTATTCCACAAAATAGAAACAGAAGGAACACTACCCAATTCGTTCTATGAAGCCACAATTACGCTCATACCTAAACCACACAAAGATACAACAAAGAACTTCAGACCAAGCTCCCTTATGCAAAAATACTCAATAAAATTCTCCTGAATCCAAGAACACATCAACACAGTCTTCCATCATGATCAAGTAGGCTTTAACCCAGGAATGCAGGATGGTTCAATATATGGAAATCCATCAATGTAATCCACTATATAAACAAGCTCAAGAAAAAAAAACAAAACACATGATCATCTCACTAGATGCTGAGAAAGCATTTGACAAAATTCAACATCCCTTCATGGTAAAAGTCCTGGAAAGATCAGGAATTCAAGGCTCATACCTAGACATAGTAAAAGCAATATACAGCAAGCCAGTAGCCAACTTCAAACTAAATGGAGAGAAACTTGAAGCAATCCCACTAAAACTCTCTCCCTACCTATTCAACATAGTACTGGAAGTCCTAACCAGAGCAATTAGACAACAAAAGAAAGTCAAAGGGATACAAATAGGAAAGAAAGATGTCAAAATACCACTATTTGCAGATGATATGATGATATACTTAAGTGACCCCAGAACTTCCACCAGAGAACTCCTAAACCTGATAAACAACTTCATCCAAGTGGCTGGGTATAAAATTAATTCAAACAAATCAGTAGCCTTCCTCTACTCAAAGGATAAACAGGCCGAGAAAGAAATTAGGGAAAGAACATCCTTCACAATGGTCACAAATAATATAAAATACCTTGGTATGAATCTAACCAAGTAAGTGAAAGTTCTTGACAAGAACTTCAAGTCTCTGAAGAAAGAAATTGAAGATCTCAGAAGATGGAAAGATCTCCCATGCTCATGGATTGGCAGGATTAATATAGTAAAAATGGCCATCTTGCCTAAAGCAATATACAGATTCAATGCAATCCCCATCAAAATTCCAAATCAATTCTTTTGTAAATTCATTTGGGATAACAAAAAACCCTAGAATAGCGAAAACTATTCTCAACAAAAGAACTGAGAGAATCACCACCCCTGACCTCAACACTATAGAGGAATAGTGATAAAAATTGCATGGTTTTGGTACAGAGACAGACAGGCAGATCAATGGAATAGAATTGAAGACCTAGAAATGAACCCACACACCTATGATCACTTGATCTTTGACAAAGGAGCTAAAACTGTCCAGTGGAAAAAGGACAGCATTTTCAACAAATGGTGCCGGTTCAACTGGAGGACAACATGTAGAAGAATGCAAATCGACCCATTCTTATGTCCTTGTACAAAGCTCAAGTCCAAGTGGATAAAGGACTTCCACATAAAACCAGATACACTGAAACTAATAGAAGAGAAGGTGGGGAAGACCCTCGAATACCTAGGCACAGGGGATAAGTTCCTGAACAGAACACCAATGGCTTATGCTCTAAGATCAAGAATTGACAAATAGGATTTCATAAAATTGCAAAGCTTCTGTGTGAAGCAAAGGACACTGTCAATAGGACAAAACGACAACCAACAGATTGGGAAAAGATCTTTACCAATCCTACATACAAATAGAGGGCTAATACCCAATATATACAAAGAACTCAATAAGTTAGACTCCAGACAAGCAAATAACCATATTAAAAAATGGGGCACAGAGCTAAACAAAGAATTCTTAATCAGGGAAACTCTAATTGCCGAGAAGCACCTAAAGAAATGTTCAACATCCTTTTAGTCATGAGGGAAATGCAAATTCACAGATTTCATCCATCAGGGTCTTCATTGCTTCTTATGTGAGTTTTTGCTTTTTATATCATCACTTAAAAGGAAAAGAAGAACTTTTTTTGATTTCTTCTTATGTTGATTTCTTTCTTTCTTTGAAACTTTGATAATGTCATCACTGGTTATAACACCAGATGCCTCAGTGCCTGTGGGCTGTAGCTGAGGAGACTGCTGTTACTTAACCTGGAAATAAATCGGTTTACAGAGAAAGAAGTGCATGTGGGGAGCAGAGGTGGATACTTTTTGTGTTCTATTGTTTTGTTCTTGCAGACACTTCCAGTTATGCTCACTTGCCTTTCTCAGAAGTAGCATGGAGTTTTAATGTGTTGTCACACCATTGTAACTAGAGTCAAGACATTGACTCGTTTTAGCTTTGGGTGAAAGCAAAGGGTTGTGTTGTGGGAATCTTTTCTGTGTTTATGATTGATATTTAGACAAGAAGGGTGGTTATCTGGTGGGCAGAGCCACGCAGGTCTGGAAATGTCGCTAGTACACTTCAGTTGTCCTTAACATCTTTTGTGTAATGAGAATGAGTAGATTGAGTGCTGGAGCCTCAGCATTAACTCTACACCCCGCATGCATTTCTGTCATTTTTAAGCTTTTGAATATAGCTGACCAGAATCGTCAACTGCATATAGCTACAGTAATGGATATGATTTCCCTTTTTAGGCCATGCGAGATGCTGAGCGTGTAAAGGAAATGAAACGAATGCACAAAGCTGTTCAGAAGGACCTACCCAGACCATCTGAAGTAAGTGCTGCCATTTCTGATTTACGAGGTTTGTTTCTTTACCTGCTATTAGTGCATTTAAAAAAAAATCTCATTCATAAAGACTGTAACAGAATTTCTTCTGCTTTTTTGAATATAGTAAAGTAGTTCTCAAATCCATTCTTGAAAATATTGCACTAATATCATTATGGATTTAGAAGTAGGGGGAGAAATTGCTTTTGAAAATATGAAAATATTTCCTTTATGCTGTAAAAGTAGGCATAGTATATTGCGGATATGTCTGATCATTCTGCTTGTTTTAAAATTTTAGGTAAATGAAACTATTTTAAGACCTTTAAATGTAGAACCACCTCTAACAGATTTACAGAAAAGTGAAGAACTGATCAAAAAAGAAATGATAACGATGCTTCATTATGACCTTCTACATCACCCCTACGAGCCGTCTGGAAATAAGAAAGGAAAAAATGTCGGTTTTGCTACCAACAATTCAGAGCACATTACCTATCTTGAGCATAGCCCTTATGAGAAGTTCTCCAAAGAAGATCTGAAAAAGGTAGGGTTGGTCAGGAACCTCCCCATCGTGACATTTCAGCTCCTGTTAGATGCTGTGTGTCAGGGTCAGAACTTACGTGGTGATCTTGCTCCTCAGAACCAAAGGAAGCATGACTAGGAGATAAATGTTATGTGAAATACTATGCAAAGAATATGTTCTTTTCATTTGTATGTAGTAAGTGTGCATGTGTACGTGTGTGTGCGTGCTCGAGCCCATGTGCATGGTACAGAGGCCAGAGATTGGTGTCAGGTGTCCTCTGATGCTCTCTACCTTATTTTTGAGACAGTATCTCTTACCAAATTTGAGGCTTGCCGTTTGTCATTTTTGCTAGAATGGCTAGTACACTTGCAGGGCTCCTCTTGGACCTCCCTGCCATCTCATGTTGGGGTTGCAGGGGTATACCACTGTACCCAGTTTTTTATGTGGGTGTTGGAGTTCTAAACTTAGGACCTTGTGCTTGCAGAGCAAGCACTTTACCCACTGAGCTCTTTTCTTAGCCTCCAGGATATGTTTTTAATACTCTCTATATTTAGTTACAGAGGCTTTGGTAGCAAGGTAGTTTTAATTTGTGGGTGTTTTTGACATGGTTGAGAATTTCATTGATTGCTGTTTTCCTGTCCTAAAGTCTGTATTTGAATGCCTTTAGTAGTTAAGTGTTATTTAGACTGATACAAAAGGTATGAGTTTTATATTAAGTAAGCAGTTTCTAGTTGTGAGCTCTAATGCTTTGATTATCTCTTCTAGGACTCCTATTTGAGATCAGTTACTGTTGTAGCAGTATTAAGATGTGGACTCTCAAGAAGTCATTAGTTCTTGAGGGCTCTGTCCTCGTGAGTGGGCTAGTCGTTTTGTGAGTGAAGCTCTCTGCCACTTTATGATTCAGTCAGAAGGTCCTCACCAGATGTGAGATTTGAACTGATGGATGGGATTATTTGAAACAGATGTTCCATGGTTTATCTGTTTATATTCATCTTTGTTCCAAAAGCTGTTTAAAGCAGCTATTTGCTTAGCAAATTCTTTTGTTTATTTTTTTTAAGATTTACTTTTTATGTGCATGAATGTTTTGCCTGAATGTGTGTCTGTATGCCACATGTATGTAGTGCCTTTGGAGGCCAAAAGAGGGCATGGAATCCCCTGGAACTAGAGTTGAAGATGGTTATGAGCTACTCTGTGGGTGTGGGGAACCAAACCCAGGTCCTCTGCAAGAGCAGTAAGTGCTCCCAACCACTGAGCCATCTCTCCAGCCCCTGAAAATTCTTTGTTAAACATATTTTATTCAGTTTCTTAAAACTAAATTAATTTTTAAAAACACTTTGTGTGTGTATTTGAGTGGGCATGTGCTGTGGTTCATGTGTAGAGATCACAAGACAACTTGGTAGAGTCCTTTCTCCTCTTCCACTATGTTGGATTAAGGTGTTGAACTCTGGCTGTCACGTTTGGTGGTTAGTGCCTTTGCCTACTGAGCTGTCTTGTAACCCTGAGCGTTAGCCCATTTTACACTTGAGACCTGTGCTCCGAGGAGTTCAGCATTGTAGGCAGCCACTTAAACAGGGATTACATCTGCCATGGTTAAAAATTTTGGAGGTAATAAAAGTTGTCCTTTTGAACCCAGTTTCTGGCCTCTGGTGACTGCTGCGTACTTGAGAGATGTTGCTGTATAATGAGTAGTGGTGATGTTGGTGCTCTTGGAGAACCATGGACGCTTAACTTTAAAAGTCAGTTTGCATCTTAGAGCTTTCTCTCTCTCTGTGTGATTGTGTGTGTTTGTTGTATGTGTGTATATGTCCATGTACATGCCAGAGGGCATAGGTTATCTTTATCACTCAGCTCTGTATCCTTGAGACATAGGATTTAGTCTGTATTGTCTTTCACCGAACCAGAAGCTTGCTGTTGCTGAGTTGGCTGAGGCTGTAGGCACATGGTCATGCTGTTGTGTTTTTGTTCTCTCTCCCTATTTTTAGCTTTCTCTGTCTCTCTTTCCCTCCCCCCCTCCTTTTAAATGTGTTCTGGGGATTTGAACTCAGGCCTTCAGGTTTGCAAAGGAGGTACTCTTACCCACTGAGTCATCTCCCTAGTCCCTACTTAGAGGCTTCTTAATCTATTTAGCTCAGGTATTGTCCATTCCCTTCTAGAGAACAACTAACCAAACCTTACCATTGGTTTAAGGAAGGAGGGAAATAAACTAGTTTTAAGCTTTATGATGGTGGAAAGTGTATGCTTCAGCTTAAATTATTACTGTAAACAGGCCCAGGATGTTCTGGTACAAGAGATGGAAGTGGTAAAACAAGGAATGAGCCATGGAGAACTCTCCAGTGAAGCTTACAACCAGGTGTGGGAGGAATGCTACAGTCAAGTCCTCTATCTTCCTGCTCAGAGCCGCTACACACGGGCTAATCTTGCTAGTAAAAAGGACAGAATTGAATCACTTGAAAAGAGACTCGAGGTTGGTATTCATTTGCTTTTATGTTTAAAAATTTATTATTGTGTATGTGCGTATGATGTTTATGTACGTGCTCAAGGAAAGCTTTGTGGAGGCAATGTTTTCATTTCCTTCTAAGTGGGATCTGCCTTGATCCTGTTGCCAGGGTTGTCCTGCAAGCACTTTCACTTACTGAGACGTCCCTTGGTGTGCGTTTACAATTCGAATTCAGTTGAAATTGTGAGCCAATTAATACTTCTGTTGACTTAAGTAAACTAGGCCTGGACAGCTGATTGCCTTGTATTTCTTAAAGACTTTGCTGAGTACCTATCTGTCAGCCAGAACCTTTTATACGAGGGAGACGTGACGCTGGTCGCTCAGATCAAGGTGGGTCAGTGAGCTCTCAGCAGTGGGGGTTTTGATCTATAGCTCACAGAGTCCTGACATTTACAGAAATTCTATACATTTTGTGTATCCTGAAGTTTGGGTTAGAGTGGAGCTGTGATGCAGACAGTGGCTTCTGGGATGTCCTGGGTCTGTGAGGCATTGAAGCTTGTTAACAGCACTTCTCGGCATGTGGTTTCTTAATATAATGTTCATATTTTCAATTCCAGAATCAGTACACATTTTGCCAGTGGCATGTAAATTGTGCTTCACAGACTACCAGACTGCCTTGTAGATTCTGTTTTTGTTTGTTTGTTTGTTTGTTTTTTGTTTTGATATTGGATCTTACTGTGTCATTATGTCTACCCCTGGAACTTACTGTGTAGATCAGGCTGGTCTCAAACTCAGACATTTGCCTGCCTCTGCCTTTCAACTGTGAATAAAGGTATGAGCCACCACACCCAGCATGCTTTTTAGATTCTTTTTTTTTTTTTTTTTTTTTTTGGTAGTCCTGGCTGTCCTGGAACTCACTCTGTAGACCAGGCCTGCCTCTGCCTCCCAAGTGCTGAGATTAAAGGCGTGCGCCACCACTGCCCAGCGCTTTCTAGATTCTTAATCATGGTCTTTAGGGATGTGTCTGAGGCCAAGATGGAATAGGGAAGGAAAAAGGGATTCTTCAGGACACTGAATGCAGAAAAATACCTCCGTGTCCTCTTTCATGTGATTGTTAGTTTTTCTTTATAGACAGTAAATTTGAGAGTATTTTTGTTTAGGGCTATTAAATCTAGATATTAGAATTATTTGTGGTTGGGCCTGTGTAGAGCTAGAGAAACGAACAGGAAAAAGCAGTGTCTTCTAATGTTAATATCTTAATTTAATCTTTATGACCACATGTATAAGACACCTATGGTCATGCCTTTGTGCCTGTTGAGTTAGGAAATAAGTCTAATGTAATTCTTGGAGTGCCAGAGCCATGAATGTTGTAGTTTTATGACTTCCAGCAGGTGGTACTGTTGCTGTTTTAATTCATAACTAAAGCTCTTGGAGACAGAACACCAGTGGTTAAATTGTAGGTTATACTTTGTGTTGTGCAGGCTTTGTTTCTTACAAATGACAGTTAGAGAGAGATCTAAGGCCAACTTTGTAATTGATTGGTAGGCTGTTTGGAATGCTTCCTTGTAACATTTATATATAAATACTTCAGTCTCTCACTTTGTTTGAAAATCTTCTCAGTTTGAGCTGGGTAAACTCTGCTGCAGATGGCAAGGACATTTTAATGTTGTTTAAAATTAAGAGGATAATTTCCCTGAATCTCATTTACACTGTTGAGGCACTAGTTTTCATGACAGCAGATAAACGTCACAAATGAGTGCTGCTGAAGTCCAGTGACTCTTCTCTGTTGACTCAGCCCTGAGAGCTCTGAAGGGCAAAGCACAGAGAGAGCCTCTGCTGTTCTGTTGGAGATGTACTTGGGTTGTTGTGAGCAATCATTAAAAACATGTGGTTCTCTTTGTTCATTTCATACCAGGAACTGAAATCTTTTGTTGAACTGTTTTTGTTGAAGGATTGCTGATGTTGGAAGAATATTCATAAAACAATGCTTTTTCTCTTTTTGACTCCTGGGTAACTTGGCTTATTGTTAACCCAGCTAGTTAATTTTAAGGAATACTTAATCAAATCTTTCAATTAGTAAACTCTTCTTATTCCAAAAGAACGTTTATTAAGTCTTCAGGAAGAAGAGAAGCAATTCAGAGGTCCAAATAAACAAAGCTTCCATTTAGTGTGTATCTATCCGTAATTCATAGCTAGATTCTCAAAGTTCCTGAAGACACAGTTTACTGGTTTAAAATATATAAATACTTTATTTCAATTATGATTCTTTCATCATCTCAGTTGATTGCTAAATTATAAACATCATTCTGAGTTGATGGTGGGAAGGAACTGCAGTTAGATGGTGTAAGCTAACTGCTAAACCTCACTGGAGGCTCAGGGAGGCAGGCTTTCTGGGCAAGCACAGTGCGCCATGGCTGCCAGTGTTTGACTTTTGCTGCCATGAACTTTGGAATAGTGAATTCAAATTGTGGCTCCAGCTCATGCCCATTGGGCAAGAAAACATGCAGAGTTGTCATGGCTGGTGTTTCCTAAGTGTACTTAAAAATATCCTCTGAAGTTCATACTGTGGGTCATTTTTTTGAAGCCACCACTCATGATTAATATTTGTAACTTGGCACTTTTTTTAAGTTCTTAAGATACTTAAAACTGGGGCTCAGCAGTTAAAAGCACCAGCTGCTCTTACAGAGGACCCAGGTTCAAGTCCTGGCACCCACATGGTAGCTCACAACTGTCTCTGTATGACTGTCTCCATTCTCAGGGGATCAGCACCGTCACACAGGCAAAACACCAATGCTCATAAAATAAAAATAAATCATTAAAAGAGAGATACTGAAAACTCATTTAATAGAACCAGCTCATTTGATGGAACACAGGGTTGGATGTGTTGATGTGCTTCAGAGCCTGCCTGGTAAGCAGTGTCATCACAGGTCAGAAGTAAGTGGGAAAGAGTTCTGAACTGTAACTGAATTTGGGGATTCCGTTTTGCTTTGGAAGCAGAATTAACTGGAATCTTGTCAGACGTTTGTTTGTATAAAGGGGCAAGCAGAAATAAGAGCTCAGGAAAGTTGTACAAGTACAGCTTACAGAAGGCATTTTAACATGGAGCAGAAAGTCCCAGCCTTGGAATAAACGTGGGATGTTAGAGCTTTTGCTGTTTCTAGTGATTTTCCCCAGAGTAATAGATTTCAATTTCTGTTCCTTGCCATCACTCTTAGAAAGTGAGGGATGGTTGTAATTCATTGTAGAAAAACTTTCACCAAATTGTTAGAAATAAAATGCTTTCCCCTTATTTCCTCACACATGTAGGGAATCCTACCAGATAGCTGCTGTGTTCTAGACATTGCTCTAGGCTGGACACATAACAGGGAACAAGACAGACAAGTGCTTCACTCTTGTGGCCGTGGGTTATCTGGAAACACTAGCAGAGGGCCTCATGTGCAGGTGATTGAGTCATTTCTGTGTTTGGGAAGTGCAAAGAGAATCTGAAGTGTTCTAAGTTGTTTCCACATTGGGTGGAAGTAGGAAATCGTCTGAAGACATAATGAGCTTGAGTGAAGGTGTTTCCGTTAGATGCAGAAGTGAAATGAAAAGCCTGAATTTAGGCTCTGCCATTAAGTTTAATAATATTTGAAATTGTAACTACACTGCTTTGTTGAAGAAGCTTGGCTAGAAAGTGGATTTTGTCATGTTAGCTATAAAAATGGAAAGGCTTTCCTCAGAGGTAGAAACCAGGCCCAGTGGGGACACTGTTCTCCATATGCTACTTGCACAGTCAATGTAGTCAAGAAATATTATGTTATGTTGATTTCTTGGAAATAAGTGGCTTAAAGAACACAGGTAGCAATTTAAAGGCCTTATTGGTATATTTTTTAAAGCTCTGCCAAGGACCCTGACTTTCCAAGAATTATGTTTCAGCAGAATTGGCTGTACTGTGGATCCCATTTTTTCAGTGCTTTTCATTATTAAAGGTGGATATTTTAACACAGAAAAAGATGCACTTGTTACTCCAGAGTGAAAATTTAGGCTAAGGATTAAGTTGGTCGGCATATCTGGATAGAGAAGTCTGTGCTGGAAATACCTCTGTAGCTGATCATCTGTTCTCCTGAGGCTGGGATGGCTGGAATAGGTGCCATGAGGTACAGAGGAGGACGTAATTCTCTTTCCCAAATTCTGCTGTCTGTCATCTGTCATGCCTCTTCAGGGCACTGGCAGATTTCTTAGTTGTCTCCAGCAAGAACTCAGATAAGAGCTGGACACTCAGGTCAGAGTGTTCAAGCGGCACAGCCATGTAGCTCAGTCCTTCCTGCATGAGGTGGATTTGTGTTACCTCCTAATCTGAAAATGCAGCATGCTCTGTGGTGCTCTGCCAGGTGACTGACTGCCTCCCTTGCTAGTTATCTAATGCTCACTAAAACTCATAGGTGCGGACTATAAATCACTTGAACCTGCACCCCATCAGTAGAGGGAAGGATCATTGGAAAAACTTGATGTTATGAGGAGTATGGATGAAAGGAGAGGTCCTCTTGACTTGTCTGAGAGGGTGGTAGTGATTGAACTCCATCCTTACTTTGACAGGATCATGTGGCTGAGTGATGGACTGGGCAGTGAGCAGCCGTCTGCTGTGTGTTTATTTTGGGTGTCCCTAAACCTCTTTTTATATAAGGTTATATTCTGGGCCCTTAAGCAAGTTTCAGTGAGGGATGCTCTGAATGTTTCTGAACCTCACTGGAATGGGTTTAAACGGCAGACAGTACAGGAGACCCAAGGAGAATGTGTTTATTTTGGAATTACTTAAGCTTAGTAACCTTAACAAACTCAGTGAGCTTGAAAGTAACAATTACACTTTTATAAGTCCCATACAGCTCCCTTTGTAATGACCCGAGGAAACACTTACGGTCCACTGATTCATCTCCTGGGGACCATCAGTTTTCCGTTGGTCTCTGGCCAGTCTGTTTTAGACAGTTTCTCTTCTATGCACTTAAAAATAACATTTCTAGACGTTTTTCTAAAAATAATACCTGTGCTTT